TTATCTTAGTAATATGCTTTTATCTCATCACCTTAGATATGAAGCTCAGAGATTAGGTTTTCTTAACAGGCTTTCCTGGTGGTTCAGTGGTAAAGAATCTGCCTGCAATACAGGAGACTCAGGTTTGATCCCTGGATCAGGAAGATCCCCTGGAGAAGGAAATGGCAACCCACTCCAGTATTCTTTCCTGGAGAATCCCATGGACAGAGGAGCCTGGCAGGCTGCAGTCCATGAAGTCGCAAAAGAGTTGGATACAACTTAGCGACTATAACCACCACCACCACAAGGTAAAAATAATTATTAAAAAATCCTTTATTTTTTTGTATAGTATTATTTTACTTTGCCTAAAAGGTCCATATAGTCAAAGCTATGGTTTTTCCAGTAGGCATGTACGGATGTGAGAACTGGACAATAAAAAAGGCTGAGCACCAAAGAACTGATGCCTTTGAACTGGAGAAGGTGCTGGAGAAGACTCTTGAGAGTCCCTTGGACAGCGAGGAGATCAAATCAGTCAATCCTAAGGGAAATCAGTCCTGAATATTCATTGGAAGGACTGATGCTGAAGCTGAAGCTCCAACACTTGGGCCACCTGATGCAAAGAGCTGACTCATTGGAAAAGACCCTGATGCTGGGAAAGACTGAAGACAGAAGGAGAAGGGAATGACAGAGGATGAGATGCTTGGATGGCATCACCAACTTGATGGACATGAATTTGAGCAAACTCTGGGAGATGGTGAAGGACAGGGAAGCCTGGCGTGCTGTAGTCCATGAGGTCACAAAGAGTCAGACACGACTGAGTGACTGGACAACAGCAACAGTCTTATTTCAGGAGTTAACTTCTGGGGATAGTAGGACATATAAAAATATCAGATACAGGAGTTCTGTGAACAAACTTACACTGTTAATAATGATTCTTAATGAATTGCATTCTTATTGCAAACTACATGCAAACAGTTACCTATTATTGTATAACCACTGTAAAACTTAGTGACATAAAACCAAAATTAATAGCATACAGCTTTGTGGGTCAGAAATGTAGACAGGACACAGCTCATCTCTGCTCCACAGCAACTGTGGCATCACCTGGGCAGGGAAGAGGAAAGGAAGTAGTTAAAGATACTTCAGACAACTACCTCATATATTTTTTCTCCTCATATCCTCTCCATATGGAGAGGGAGCTACCTTAGGCTCCTTCACAGCATGGAAGGTTCAATATAGTCAGATTTTTTAACATGAAGCTAGTATCCCAAGAAACCCAGGATAAGATTACAAACCTTCACATGTCCTAACTTCAGAAGTACCAGCACATTACTTTTGACTCACTCTATTCAGTCAAGCAAGCCACTAAGGCTATTCTAGATACTATATGAGGAAGTCGGAATTAGACTGCACCTCTAAGCTGCTAAGGGGGATCCGCTAAGGGGATTGCTTCCGTGGTATCTCACTCTGTGCAACCCTATGGACTGTAGCCCACTGGGCCCTTCTGTCCATGGGATTCTCCAGGCAAGAATACTGGTGTGGACTGTCATGCCCCCCTCCAGGGATTCTTCCCGACCCAGAGATTAAACCTGAGTCTCTCATGTTTCCTGCATTGGCAGGCAGGTTCTTTACCACTAACACTACCTGGGAATCATAGCAAGCAATTTTAATCTACCATATTGCACTTTCTTGGAACATAACCTCAATATACAGATAAAATAGAGCCCCTATATCTTCCTTCTTTAAGAAAGTTAAAATCTACAAGAAAAGGACAAATGTATTTTATGCAATAATATACATTCAGAAATGGGTATAATTCCTTGTAAATGATTGGTGATCAATAAGTACTTATTCAAAGGGTGATGAGTCACTGCATTCCCAGAAGCATGACAGATAAACATGGGTAGCAAATATTCACTGTTGTTTAGTCGCTCAGTCATGTCCTACTCTTTTGCAGCCCCATGGACTGTAGCCTGCCTGGTTCCTCTGTCCATGGGATTTTCCAGGCAAGAATACTGTGGGTTGTCATTTCCTTCTCCAGGGGATCATCTAGACCCAGGGATTGAACCTATGTCTCCTGCACTACAGGCAGATTTTTTTTTACCATTGAGCCACTGGGTTTCTAGACAGCAAATATCCATGCCACTCACCAAAATCAAAACTCCCAAGCAAGAATATGGCCATGGAAGCTCTGTTTCTCTTGACAGGAATCTTCCCCAACTTCTGAAATAAAACCTATAACCACGAAGATTCCAATATATCTACTTTCCTAGTGTGTAGGGGCCTTTCTCTCTTGATTCAAAGGTTGTAAGTATGCCCTGGCATCAGAAATCCCTATTGTGCCAAGACAAGATTACCACTAGAAATCATCTTCAGACACATCTCTCCAGGCAACATAGTCAAATGCAAATGCATTTCGAGCTTTCTAGTTCCAGTGTCATTAAACAAGCTTCCATATTCTCAACCTCATTCTCTTAACTTCATTCATACAAGATGTTATGGTTAGATGAAAAACTGACCAGTGTCAAGAACTGTGAATGATCAGACTTTTTAACCATACTTGCAAACAAACATGTTAAACCTGCCACAGTTTTCATGGCAGAAGTTCAGAGACTCCGGACTTAGAGACAAAGACTACTACTCATGATACTGCAGGAACATAAACTTCATGCTCATATTAGTTCTCTTTGCCACCACCCCCCCCCCCAGGTCCCATGAAAGTGACACAGAGGTGGGTACAGGTAGATGCTGCACATTACAGATTTGCATCACCTATGAGGAGCCCCAAGTTTAGGAAACTTCAAGCTTTCATAAGAGGTGGCAAACAACCTGCCTAACCTTTCCCCAGAGGAAAATATTAACATACTGGACATCAAATAGCCCTACTGTCTGCTCCTCCTCTATTCTCTGCTACTATCTCTATTTTTCAAAGTTGCTCACTATACAAAAATTTTTGAAAAGGCAGACCAGGACAAAAGATTGTCAGTGTTTCTGCTGAAAAGACATTCAGAAATATGAAGAATCAGGGAGAATTACCTCTCAACAGCCAGAAGTTAGGGACATAAGGGAGACATCACATTTATATGGTAGATGGTAGAAAGATATTTCATTAAGAAGAGGTAAAAGGTGAAGATTTCTCCTTCTCCTGGAAGATACTTTCCTTTTGTTTCCTCTGTTTCTATTTCTCTCTCTCTCTCTTTCTCTCCTACTTCTTAAAAAAAAAAAAAAAAACACTCAATGTTTTATGCTGTTCCTCTTTCTTTCATAGGGTTTATATATTTGTATGACCTAGTCAAGAGGCAAGCCATCATTTGAAAGGCTTTTGAATACTAAGGGCTCAAAGAAAAGATACATGGAGTATCCAGCTTAGCCTTCTCTGCTTCTTTAGCCATTAAGAAGAACTTTCTTTTCTGTGGGCACATTATTCCAGGCCTCCTATCACTGACACAATAGAAAGATCAAGAATATCAGGGTTCACATACGGGTTTAAATGGAACAGGCCAACCAAGGAGAACACTGATCTGCCTCTGCCTCTGGTTTAAAAATTATACTAAGGATTAACCAAGATTTAGAGCTTACTAATGATCTGCAATAAGGGCTTCCCTGGTGTCTCAGCAGCAAAGAATCCTCCTGTAAGGGGACTTGCAAGAAATACAGGTTCAATCCCTGTGTCAGGCAGATCCTCTTGAGAAGGAAATGGCAATCCACCCCAGTATTCTTGTCTGGGATAATCCCAAGGACAGAGGAGCCTGGCGGGCTACAGTCCATAAGGTCACAAAGAGCTGGACATGACTGAGCAACTAAACAACAACAAAAATGAAGAGGAAACCACATGGAGATCGAGATGGATGCCTTAGCCAATAATAAAGCATTTTCTTGGAGTGACTTCTGTGATTAAATCACTTAGATATTTGAGGTAACAGTACACAGCTGGAAGTCAGTTAGAGAATTTAGACCCTTAACTATCCCCTGCCATGACTAAAGCCCTCATGTCACCCCATTCCAACACCACGCCTATATATCTATACCAGCATTAGTCTACCTGCTTAGTCCTCCCAGTCAAGTGGAAGCTTTTAAATGGCCACAAATATATATTAATCACATTTGCAGCTCCAACACCCAGTTCTTATTTCCCATTCAACAACCATTGCAAACCAAGCAACCCCTTGCTACATTTTATTGCTTTATTAATTCTTCTTAAACACATACTTTCACATGTTCAAAAACCTCTAAGAGCCTTCTATCTGCCATTGTATCAAGTCTAATTCCATTACCTAATTTTTGAGGAACATCCCAGTATGCAGTAAGTAGATTTAATATTCCAAAAATTTCTCTTAGGAATTGATTGCTGAATTTCACTAATCTCTCTCAGACAGAAATAGGGCTTAAGATCAGGTAGAAAGTGACTGTATCTGCTCAGGATTTCCTCTAATTCTAACTCACTAACAGTTCTTTCTTTTATTGTGTTTACTTTCTTCTTGTATAAACTCTCAATGCCCTTAGAATTTATGTCACACACTATTACTTAGTCATATGCTATCTTGTACAGGACTGGTTCCCATTATATTATTAAACAGCTCCTCATGGATCCTGTGATTATACGGTTGGGCAACACAGCAAATTACATCATAACATGAAACTAGTCACTAAAGGATCTGTTGTTGTTGTTTTACTCACCAAATCGTGTCTGATTCTTTGCGACCCCAAGGACTGTAGCCCTCCAAGCTTCTCTGTCCACGGATTTCCCAGGCAAGAATATCGGAGTGGGTTGCCATTTCCTTTCTCCAGGGGATCTTCATGACCCAGGGATCAAACCCACATCTGTGTGGCAGGCGGATTCTTTACTGCCAAGATGCCTGAGAAGCTCGCTACAAAACTGATCACCTATAATTTCCAATCATCCACTCCAAATCCATAAAAATGATTATTTCTGACAAAAGGCAAAAGGAAATGAAACAAAAATGGTGACTAATAGGGCCTTTGGTTTTATCTGTAATAGTTTTTTGAAAGAAAAAGTAGATTCAGGCTGAGGCAGACTGTCTCCAAAGATGGCTACAACAATCTTTGCCATACTGCTCAACCTGTATCATGGGACTTGGCTGCTCCTCCCCTAAAGAGGTGAAGCCTATTTCCTGTCCCCTTGAAACTGACTGACCTGCTCTGACCAACAGAATGTGAAGAAAGTGACAAGGGGACAGAGCTCCGGAGCCTAGCTTTAAGAGATCCTGCAGCTTTTGTTTCCACTGCTTGGGAACCCGGTTCTCTACTACAGATATCAAAGGGAGAGTCCCTGGAGGCTTAAAGATAGAAGACAGAGAAATCCAGAATTCCATTCATCTCAGTTAAGGAGCCAGACGTGAGACTGAGACCATCTCAGATTCCTAGGTGAATATGTCTAGTAGAGATAACCCATTTCATCTGAGCTCTGCCTAGCCAATCCCAGAATCATGAGTAAAGAAAACACATGATGGTTGTTTTCAGCCACTGAATTTCAGGCTGGTTTCTTCCACAGCAATAGACAACTGTTACTTGTGTTATTCAAAATTAATTTAAAAAAATAAATAAGCCACCTGCAAACCTTTTTTCCTGTTTAACAACTAGCCTCTCTCCTTTTCCCATCTCATTCCATGTCTTTAATGTCTCTATTCATCTAACTGATTATACAGTCTCCAACAATGCAATGCAAACTCAGTGCAAATCAAGACAAAATCGGGGCAAAGTGATTATAGCACGAAATTGCAAATCTTTCAAAACATGTTAAGAAATCATGAAGTTGATGAAGGTAACATTAGAGAAGCCCCTGAACTGTGGGCAACTCTTCTGGGAAATGAGAATCAGCAGCTGGAATAGTTAACATTTGAAGAGCAAAAAAATCTACACAGATGATGGCACAGTAAGTGCCTCAAAAGGGAATGATTAGAATGTCAAAATTCAAGAGAGGCTCTTGGAAAATTGATGAAGCCCTCAAATATTTTCGCAATAATGACCCTCTTTATGATTTGCCCACAGAAGTCAAACGTAAAAAGGATATTATGTCATGATACCATATAATTTTGTTAGAAAATTATGCTTCTCAAAATCAAAACTTGATTCAGCTTTTGTTCTAATGTTTAACACATCACTGGCCAACTAAATTTTGTTAAATGTAAGGTAAATCAATTTTAATAATTTTCTTACATTTTTTTAAAGATAATGTCTCAACCAAATACTTTTACTTTTTTCCTCCCTATTTTTAAAAGATTCAATTTAAGTGGGTTTGGGAGGGTACCAATTATCTGAAGAAAATTGGGGACCTCTGTAAAATCTTTGCTTCATCTCCCTAATTAGCAGGCATACGCACTGAGGACAGGGTCTTAGACCACACTTTATGAGTATCCTCTAGACAGTTCACCAAGCAAAGGGCTGAGCAGACAGTGTGGACTTATGTGTTCAATAAATGTGACAATTAATGGCCTAGTGACTGACTGGCTCACATGCCAGATGCCTCCATTGAAGAATGGCACTTTATCCATTATCAATCCCTGACCCAAAATCTGCTGGCATTTGTTCTCAAAACTGTTCATAGAAGGCCTATTACAAACTTCCTGCTAAAGCTCTTTCAAAGGCTGGATACGTTTAAAACCAATTCAAGCATGTAAAGTCGTTTCAGGAAATAAGCCCCATGTCCCAAGGGCTCAGCTGAGCAGGGCCACTTTTCAGAACAGGTGTGCCACTTCACTGAGTAGGAATTTGGAAATGTCAAACATTAGAAGCACTTCAGAAACTCCAACTCAACCTGCCTGAAAGTCGTACTTCTGGGCACGTGTCAATAAATGCCTTGCAGAGGTGGGCATTTGAGAAAACCTCTCCACCCTGATTCAAAATTAGTTACAATAAATCAGCATGGTAGGTTCTTAAACAGACCACACCTTTTTTATTTGGTGTTTCCTGTTTCAATTTTACTTCTCATAAGAAACTGTTTAAAGTGATTATTCAAAAAGTTCCCATCTATATTACATGATAACCGTCCATAACAGGATTGGATGTTTTAACATCCCTGAATTTCAGTCTCTTTCATTTTATCTTGCATCTCCAATTCCAAGAGTAAGAACTGGGCTGTTCTTCTTGTCATTATCAGTTACTTCTATCCCTTTGAAAATTAAAAACTAACACTATGGGCTTGACTGCAAGTACCCTTTAAATTTGGCCTCTTTCAGTGGACACCAGGCATTCTGAAGTGCATCAGTCTGTTCTAGGGCAAAGGCAAACAATACTTTCCATTACAATAACTTGTATCCAGGAAGAAAAAAAAAAAAAACAGGCAGTCTGTAGCATACGTAGCATAGCTGCCAGAGAAAAGTTTACTAGCTTTAGCCAATTGGAGGCTGTGGCGCTGGGCCAAATTAGCATGTTTTTCTCCGCCTCTAGATGAAGTCAGGAGTGAAGTATGACATTGAACTTCTTCTTAAAAGGGAAGAGGCACAGGAAAGAAAAGGTAAACCTGCAGGAAAGTGCCCTGTGCCAAGGAGAACGCGATCAGGAAGCTGTGTACATGCCTCTGAACCCTGAGTGGTTCTCAGTTCTCTATCCTTCGCCTCCCACTGGGTGGAGTAGGGCTTTGAAGAGCAGCTGGAATGCGCTTCCCCTGATCAGTGTAGCCAGTTGTTGACTGTCTGAACCTCTGCCAGTCTTAGAGAGCGGTGCTCTGAGCTCAAACCAGAGGGCGAGGCTCGGCACCCCCTAACCACCGTCCTTCTCGCCGGGGCCAGAGGAAAGCTCCCACCCGTGCAGCAGCCATGGGGGAGGACGCTGTACAGGCTGAAAAGTTCCAGCACCCAGGCCCCAACATGCGGCCGGAGAAGCCGGCCGGCTCCAGTCCGGTGCCGTCCTCCACGCCGAGCCCCAGCCTGCATCTGGGGAGCACGGAGGAAGCCATCCGGGACAGCGCGCAGGTGAACGCTGTCACGGTGCTCACGCTCCTGGACAAGCTGGTGAACATGCTCGACGCCGTGCAGGAGAACCAGCATAAGATGGAGCAGCGGCAGATCAGCCTGGAGGGCTCGGTGAAGGGTATCCAGAACGACCTCACCAAGCTCTCCAAGTACCAGGCCTCCACCAGCAACACGGTGAGCAAGCTGCTGGAGAAGTCGCGCAAGGTTAGCGCGCACACGCGGGCCGTCAAGGAGCGCATGGACAGGCAGAGCGCGCAGGTGAAGCGGCTGGAGAACAACCACGCCCAGCTCCTCCGGCGCAACCACTTCAAAGTGCTCATCTTCCAGGTCAGTGCCGCTGCTCTCCTCCCAGCCAGCTGGGCCTCCTCGGCATCCAAGGTCTCAGTCCGCCTGGCTCTCCCAGCCGTCTGTATAGCTGTCCTGCCTGTCAGAGATCACACACACACACACACACACAAGGCATTGTCCTCCCTGCCTTCTGCAGGCGCCTGTGGAATCTGCACACGGGGGTGGGAATTTCCCGGATAACTGCAGCCTAAACCCAAGCAGTGCCTCAGGAGTTAGCAGGGTGGAGTCACTTGTCAAGAGCAGGTGGATGCGCTCTGTACAGGTTGGGAAGGTGAACAGGTTCAGGCAACCTAGTCAAATTCATCTGTCTCTCTGCATTGTGAACGTGGGGCTCTGCCTGCAGCTGTTAGTTGGACAGGGCAAGTTAATTCAGTGGCTATTTATTAACTCTTTGTGGAAATGAGGGAATCATGTACGTTTTGTTTTTTAAGCAACAAGTCAAATTCATAACTTTTTAAAGCGTCCCTTTGTCTAAAGGTCACCAGTGTTTGGGGAACTAAGTATTGATGACTGATTCCATTAGAAATGAACTAGCCTCTTCCTATTAAGACTTTTGGCCAAAGTAATCTTGTTGCACTCTTTTCTAGCAAATGATGCACTGAAACTATAAAGCATAACTCTACACACTCGCTAGACACGCTTCTCATTACTCAGAGAGACCATAACTGTAAAGTAAAATAGTTACAAAGGCTAGTCCAGAACATTTTCTTCTTCAAATGGTTGCCTTGGAATAAAAAGGCCACTTAATTTTTTTAATGCCTCAATGATGCAATTAATGTAGCAAAAGGCTCTTTGGGGACAGGGAGGTTGCCTGGGGCCGTTGTTCCGATAAGTAGTGGGCATTTGTCAATCCAAGGGCAGCCCTGCCTAGCGCTGGAAGCCCTTCCGCCCGGTGGAACCCAGCCAGTGGGGAGCCCAGGAAGAAACTGCCACCCTGCCCCAGGGCTGTCTGCTTGCGACCATGTGAATAGGAGAGGATTTCAAAGCCATGGAGGGGAGAGCCTATAACCAACTGTTTAACTGTGAAAGGCACACAAGAAGAGCCTTCATCTCCCCAAAGAGATTTAGAAACTGGAATTTAAACCGAGGGAGCCTTCTTTTTCTAAATGAATCTGCTCTGCCAAGTCAGAACGTAAGCCCCCTTCCTCCATAAAAGGAAAGACTCATCTTGCTGCTTTTTTGTCCTCCCCAAACTACAGTTGATGTGATAAAGCTTCAGGCAGCTGATGTCCTCCTATGCCTTGCAGGCTTTTGCACTCTGGAAATTTTTTAGCTTTTAATGCAAATGAAATAGCTTTTCATGCACCAGATGAACTGAAGAGAGATATGGTAACTGCGCCTTTCTCAAGTCATACAAGATCCCTGTATTATTAGCCTAAAAGATATTATAAATCTCAACTCTCAAGGCATTTCTAAATTAAATACTGATCTCCAAACAAAACCAAACATGTACAGACCTGTTTAAATCTGAGTCATCAAAGGAAATTTCCCTCCTTCCAGTATGAATCAGAGAGATTATCTCTTGTCTTATCCCTCAGTGAAGGAAGAAAAACAAGAAATTATTTATCTAGTAGAGGAAATCACAATATGCTAGCATCAGTTTTTGTTTTGTTTTGCCACGGATGTTCTGTGGGTGCTGGAGGGAGGGATGGGGGAAGATAAGTAACTAAAAATTTCAAGGGAACTGTAAATATAACATCTGGAAAAAAGAAAAAAAAAAACTTTTGGAAACTTAAAGACATGTCCTGCTGGTGAAGCCCTGCCATGGTCTTTTTGTCACAGTGGATTGACAGGTGTGAAATTGCAGCCAGAAATGATAGGAATTCTCCATATAGTGAGGATAAGGTGAAATGGGCTCAAGACTACTGTAGAGGCTACAAGAATCCAAAGCAGTGTGTTCAGCTCCATTCAGAGCCTCTTATCAAACAGCCCCCAAGGACATTTTTCTTTTTTCCTTTTTTTTTTATTTATTTATTTATTTATTTTTTCATTTGACAAGAACATTTATTTTATTTTTTTTTAACTGTTTACAATATTTTTTTTTTCCATTGTTGAAAATAGTTCATTTTTTTTTTTTTTTTACATGTATTCCCCATCCCGGTCCCCCCTCCCACCTCCCTCTCCACCCAATCCCTCTGGGTCTTCCCAGTGCACCAGGCCCGAGCACTTGTCTCATGCACCCAACCTGGGCTGGTGAACTGTTTCACCCTAGATAATATACGTGTTTCAATGCTGTTCTCTTGAAACATCCCACCCTCGCCTTCTCCCAGAGTCCACAAGTCTGTTCTATACATAGGAGTCTCTTTTTCTGTTTTGCACATAGGGTTATCGTTACTATCTTTCTAAATTCCATATATATGTGTTAGTATACTGTAATGGTCTTTATCTTTCTGGCTTACTTCGCTCTGTATAATGGGCTCCAGTTTCATCCATCTCATTAGAACTGATTCAAATGAATTCTTTTTAATGGCTGAGTAATATTCCATGGTGTATATGTACCACAGCTTCCTCATCCATTCGTCTGCTGATGGGCATCTAGGTTGCTTCCATGTTCTGGCTATTATAAACAGTGCTGCGATGAACATTGGGGTGCACGTGTCTCTTTCAGATCTGGTTTCCTCGGTGTGTATGCCCAGAAGTGGGATTGCTGGGTCATATGGCAGTTCTATTTCCAGCTTTTTAAGAAATCTCCACACTGTTTTCCATAGTGGCTGTACTAATTTGCATTCCCACCAACAAAGGAAACTATAAGCAAGGTGAAAAGACAGCCCTCAGATTGGGAGAAAATAATAGCAAACGAAGCAACAGACAAAGGATTAATCTCAAAAATATACAAGCAACTCCTCCAGCTCAACTCCAGAAAAATAAATGACCCAATCAAAAAATGGGCCAAAGAACTGAACAGACATTTCTCCAAGGAAGACATACAGATGGCTAACAAACACATGAAAAGATGCTCAACATCACTCATTATCAGAGAAATGCAAATCAAAACCACAATGAGGTACCATTACACACCAGTCAGGATGGCTGCTATCCAAAAGTCTACAAGCAATAAATGCTGGAGAGGGTGTGGAGAAAAGGGAACCCTCTTACACTGTTGGTGGGAATGCAAATTAGTACAGCCACTATGGAAAACAGTGTGGAGATTTCTTAAAAAGCTGGACATTTTTCAAAGAACAGTTTAGGAGATAAATGATTAGAGGCAAGGAACTGGACCTTTTTTAAGTCATCTTTTATTAGCCTAAAGTATATCAGAAGTATTAACTGTCAGGACACTCACTGCAAACTGACCATTTTGAAAAAACAAATACAAGTGAAGTCCTTCAGTGGGAAACTTCCTCTTTCTGGACTATTTTTAAAGTAGGGGGTTTTAGAGTAGTAAATTATTAAATCCATTACAGTTCTTATATTACTATATTCATTATGCCAATGGATATAATAATAAGTTGTGTTATAGAATGGTCCAGTATAGGGGTTGAAAAAAGATACATTTTGTCATACAGACACTGTTTCAAATCCTAGTTTCACTGCTAGTCAATTATGTGCTCTTGTGCACATTTTCTAGCTTTTCCAAGCTTCTGTTTCCTCATCTGTACATCTTATTAATATTTGAATATATTAATAACAGCAAAAGTATTTTGAGCTCTTAATAAGCCCTGCAGAATCTGCTAAGCATCTTTCTGTTGTTTATCTCAGTTGCCCCAATTTACAGATGAGGATGCTGAGATTCAGAGATGCTTACATCTTGTCTGAAGTTATTTAGTAAGCAGTGGTCAAGCTGGAATTTAACCTCATATTTAATTGATTCCAAAGCATGTGCTCTTAAATATTAATGCTTCTTCCCACATCTCTCTTTCATAGGGTGAGAGATAAGTGGATTAACATATTCAAAATGGTTAGTGACTGTCGTGGTACAAGAGCTCAAAGAATAGAAGCTCTTCCTGGGTGGACCTGCATGGAGAGGCAGCTCTACTTGTGCTGGTTAGAAATATGGCTTTTTAGTAAAAAAAACTGATCCCACCCTACCTAGGATCTGCAAACAACTATGCTTTTGCTTTTTTATGTGCTATTTATTAAAAGCTACACACACACATTCATTCACTCACCCCCACTCCTTGCCATACATTGTATGACAACTGCCTTGGTGAAATCGGTTACCACCAGAGCAAAAGAAAGCAAAATCCTTTAAGGGCACAGACCCCTGCCCAGAGGGCCTGCTCTAAATACCCGCTTCTCGTGGCTGCGTAGTCTTCATGTGCTGGGGCACAGAGTGGATCCTTTCTAGACCTGAAGAGTGAGCGGGGCAGAGGCTGGACCAGGCGCCACTTCAGGTCCTGAAGTTGTTTGTCACTTTTGGTCTACTTGACCGCTATGCGAGACTTTCTGGTTTCAGACAGAAAAATTAATGTAAAAGTAAGAGTGAGGGAAGAAAGTCTGCCATCTGACCAGAACACATTCAGTTCTGTAGTGTTTAGAAGATTATGCTTCCAGTTTGTGAAGTCCTGTTGCATTGTCTAAAATCTGCTGGTGCCTTTTTGTTGGTTGGTTTGTTGATCTACTAGATACTTACAAATTAGCATTTTTTTTTAATTCTGAAATTTGTCCTATTTAAAGTGCCATTTAAGTCTGTGCTGAACTTATAACATTCTTGTAGCTGTTAAGCCTATCATGCATTAGCAATTACTTCAAATTATAACCAGTAGAATCTAAAACTGGAGAAAATTCATCTCCTTTTGAGAAATAAACTGTAAAATCCCTGTTAAATTTAGCAGCTTCCCTTTTTATATTTTTTAAAAATAATAGCTTGAGATCTATGTTTGAATTCAAAATACTGTGACAGAAGCCGGTATAAATGAAATAAGACTCACTGGGGTTGCTGATCATAAAGCAAATGCTAAAGACTAATAAGACTAACACTTTGCTTGTAAGTGCATAGGTATCTTTTACTAAAAATAAAATCTGTACAGAAAATCAGT